TAGTGTCCTATTTGATTGTTTTTTTTTAAATGTTTGTTACCTCAGAAGTCGGTCATTTATGAACCGATGTGGAAGTTTCTTTTTTTTATTCAGGAGTTTATACATCCTGTTTGGTACAATAGTTAAAGATTAGAAAAAAAGGTTAGAAAATCTGGTTATAATAAAATAATGTACTTCTGTCTCTTGAGTTGTGTGTCCATAAGCGGTGGTGGCACCAATGGTGGCCTTAGCTGTTGCAAGGCTCCGGGCTGGTAGATCATTGCGAGGCTCTTGGCTTTATGGAATTAGTTTTACTGATGATACTTGGAACAAAAAAAACAGTGCAACACATACTGCTCGAATAATAAAGGCATAAGCTGACGACAATTGACATTGGAAGCCTGTCAAAACGAATCGAGCGCGAGTTGTATGACGTTAGTTTTATAATGCGAGATTTCAATAATTATTTTCTACTTGGGTTGTTTCGCGAGTTTGCGAGGCCTCTGCATGAGCGAGGCCCTGGGCGGTTGCCCTGCTCGGCAACCACAAAGGCCGCCCCTGGGTGGCACATATCAGAGTGGGTTCGTAAACCATTTACATCCAGAATTAGGTCGGATTATATATCTAAATCACTTAAAGATAATCCTGTGTTCAGACAGTCTGTGGGGTCCAAAGGTGGTGAGAAGTTTTTGTGAAAATGGCGTGGTCGCATGTTTTGAGACCTGCACACCAGCAAGATTTTTGTTTTTATGGAATGGGGATAAATTGAGCAGACTGGTCACCTGATAGTAAGGGACTATCACCGCCAACAGGCACCTGCAACTCAGAGTCACAAGAATTGCTACACACCGGTTGTCTATGAGAAACAAGTTTTTTTCTATTTATCGTAACACGTTTTTCTAAATGAATAGTAACAACAGAACAGAATTTTGAGAAGGTACCCTACACTTACCCATTGAAGAGTAACAAATAAGCCCTCATACGCAGCAGGTCAATGCACACTGCGCAAATGTGGATAAATACATTTCATAGGTGCTGGCAACATTACACATTCCTGTCAAATATGTCAAGCAAATCTTAATTCTGGTCGATTTCTCTGTGGCGCTTTCGAATATTATTCAATATATATATATTAGTACAAGAATTAAAAGGTGTATGGAAAAGTTTAATCGAATGAGAAACTCCTAAAGCTGTTATGGAGGGTGTTATTGTAAAGGAAGAACCGGTAGACCCACCGCAAGAAGTCGACACCGAAAATGACATGAAGCTGTCGACCGATCCTGGTGAACCTGAATTTATTAACATTAAAACAGAAATAGAAGTGCCCAACCCTGATACCAGGTAATCTTTATAACATAGATATACTTATTTACGTTACATCAATCATTTTGAGTGTATAAATCATACATTTCAATTGAAAAATGTAGGTATTGTTTTTAATTTAGAATGCCGACAGTGTCGTAGACTTAGCTAATATTATAGTCGTATGTTTTGGCAGCGGTTTCTGTCTGTTATTTTTACGTATAAAGTCATGAACCGTAATAAATTATGTTAAAGGTACATTTACGTCAGGATTATGTAAAAAATATATAGATTTGAATTTTAACAGTGATACGAATTTAAAATAACTGCATTTTCAGTTGCTGGTAACTATTAAAAGCTCTTAATAATGTTTCCTGCTAACCTTTTTCCCAACCTAATTTGGGGTCGGCTAAATTCTTATGGGGTTAAATTTTTATGCAGAGCAACTGCCATTAGATCCCCAAAACCCAAGTACTAGGAGATATCGAAGTCCTGTTCTTAAGTAAAAAAAAACAATAGTTGTTAAGGCCAGCAACACACATGTGACTCCCGAGCTGCTGGCATTCTTAGGTGGCACTAGTCGCTTTCCATCAGGAGATCCGTCTGCTTGTTTGACCCTTTATCATAAAAAAACCTCTTACTTCAACCTATCCAAACTTCCAAAAAATGCTAAATAGGGGTATTCGAAATTCTTAATCCGTCACAACACGGAGAGTAAAGTTAGTACTAGTTGACAAAATCAGGTTATTTAATGATATTTAGCCCACCCCTACACAAATATAGTCATGTATGTATATGCAATATTTCTATTGAAAGGTAAGGTACTGCAAATGATATTAGGCGAGTTTTGTGTGGTAGGGGCATTTATTTGAACTCAAAACAATTATAATCAAAGATGCTGTTAAATTATATATTCAATAAATAATATATAATTAACTTAAAAAAAATATCACCAACTTCAATCATAATAAATTGTAATAAGCTGTATTCTTAATCCCTTAAATTTTCACCCCCCTTTAGTATGAAATGGACACCCTTATTATAGGATGGTGTGTCGTAATCGAACTGACTAAAACCATACAGTATGGCTTAAATAGGAGGTATCCAGGAATTGTTTTTATTAAGCCTTGCCTGTCCACTAATGTGAGTGCACCACCATTGGGTAAAAACTCATCTTGGCGACATCCAGGCACATGTGAATGAATGACACGTGTGAAGGTTGGTCCCTCGCGGGGAACATTTTTATTCCTATAGATTTTGTTTTTATTGAACTAACTTTGAATACAACCAATACAATGAAACAATGTTGAAGTTAGTTCACAAATGCCAAAGATTATGATTAATTTATACAAAAATAACTATATTCAGTCAAATTGACGACAACCATCAATAACCTTTAATAGTCCACTGCTGGAAATAGGCCTCTCCTTAGAAGAGAGGTTTTGGCCTACTATACCACGCTAGACAGAGGGCTTGGTATAGGATGTGTCAAGTTTCTCTTCTTTTTGCAGTGATGTTTTCCTGGGTAGTTTGCTCCCAAACAAATAAAACTCCCGACGAGACTTTTGCATTTGTGCCAAAGATGACACACGGTGTCTTATTTAATTTTTTTATGAAACTAGCTGGTGCCCGCAACTTTGTTCGAGTGGAATTTGAAAACCGCCTTAGTGAGTTTGATTCCCGGATCAATCAAAATTTAATAGGGTTTTTCTGAGAGAAAAAATAGCCTTACTCCTTATATAGGCAGCTACCTGGTATTAATTTATTATCAAAATTGGTCCAGCCGCTTGGAAGATTACCCGGAACAAACACAGACAGTCAAAAAATGTTTAAACTGGTTTTAGGCATAATTATTGTACAAATAACCATGTGAGCATGAAAAAGACCTATTATTTTGACATTACAAACAGACACTCTAATTATATTTATTTGTATAAATATAGATAAACACACGCGAAGTCACCTCAACGAGGCTATTTTTAATGGCTATTTAATAAAACAAAGATAAGGAAACAATTCTGTGCCTAAAAAGTAAAGCCTTGTGAGAAGAAATCATGCAAAAAAACAATCTTACAGCCATTTCTTTCATAAGACCAAATACTTTGAATAATAATATGAAAATTACAATCCTATTATGTTACTAAGTTACTAAAAAACATAACTTAGGCTGTGAAAATAAAAAAAAACACATAAGGAAAAGTCGGAGACAGAAGTATGGAGTGTAGAGGTGAGAACCATTTCTGTGTATGATAAGCGTCTAAAAAAAGCTTAAATAGGGCCGGTACAGTAACATCAGCGTAAATTTTGAAAGAATGCGCCAAAACTTGTTCAAGTAGGATAGAGAACGAACAAAAAAAATATTTGCTTAAAAAATAATTAGACAATGTACTAGACTGTAAAATCAGTCATAATATGAGTTTTATAGATAATAAATGTTGTATTTGTATTAACTACTTACAGATAATAAAAGTACTTTAACTGAGCAAACTTCACTCCGCCTATAACTGCTAATTTCATGTCATTCCCATTGGCTACTCTAGCGCCATTCTGGTCGGTTTTAGAACTATTATATGCTGGTTTTTGGTGGACACTTTCGGTTTACCTTCTATACAAGATAGTTAGATAGGGCAACACAGTTCACTAACAAAACTAATCAAATAAACTATTTGTTTAGTTAAAAAAAAACTGAAAAATTAAAAATTATCTCTGCTGCGTAGAGTAAATTTTGTGTGTGTGAATGCAACAACAAATAAACCAAAGCAACTCGGCTGAACTCGGTTTCGTACCTACTCTGTCAAAGCGGGAGCGATGAGCTGGTGAACTGTAGAACTAAAATACTCCACAGAGTTGAACTAGTTCAATTCGTTCACTTCAAATGAGCAGTGCAATGAATCACTCATGAGTTACACAAGTCTAAAGATAGTTCTCCTTAACTCTACTCTAGACAGAAGGAAGAGAAGAAGACAGAGGAAAATAAGGAAAAAATAATGAAAAGGAAAAAAAGATAAGAAATGGAAAATAAGTAACACATTAGCTGACATTACACTTTACTAATAATTTGAAAAAGCCATTTACACATCCAACTCATTTTGTTAAAAGATTGAAATGTTACTAATTATAAAATTAAATAAACTTTGGAAAAAAATAACTTCGCACATCACAAATGAAAACACAAGTTGATTATACATTAATTAATAATTATTAGTAATTTATCTACAATATGTATGTATTTAAAAATATACAAGTATGTTTATCAGCAGCCTGTAGTATACAGGCTCTGCTTAGTTTGGGATCAGACGGCTGTGTGTGATATGTGTGAAGTTATTATTATTATTACAAATTAAATCACAGTCTAGTCGTGATCGATTAAAGCAATTCGAAAGGTCCGGTAAGTAGTAATTTACCATAAAAGAAAATATCACCGACTTTTTGTGCCATCATGTAAATTGTATTCTTTATTTTTTAATTTTCTTCAAATTTGAAAGGGACCAAACGGGAAGTACAGGATGTACACCATTCACTACCCGTTTGGTCCCTTCCAATTTAGTTTCCATATAAAAACAGATTTTCCTAATTTGGTTGACCACAAAATGATGGAGTTCAGAACTCCTAAGAAAAAAATACAAACCGAATTGAGAACCTACTCCTTTTTTTGAAGTCTATTAGAAAAGGTAAATATAATGGAGAATACGTCACAATAACAAATGATTGAATTTCATTTAAGCTGTATATTTTCGGTTTCTGATAGTGTTGACCACGTGGCACGCAAAAATCATGAACACCAGCTGAAAGAGAAAAAGGCGATTACATAAAATGTTTTTTTCCTCTCCTGTACCGATTGTGTTAAATATTAGTCTCCTCAACGCTTTGAATACCTCTAAATGCAGAGACTATTATTTTAATTATGCGGTAAACATGGCGTTTTAAAATGTAAACCATTCCTGTCTCGACAGAATTTAAGTCTGACAGTAGTAGTTTAGGGGTGGTTATGTCGGACTCGAACCGACTAAAACCGCCTGCTGTCTCAGGTGAACCCAGGTACCCGGTGAACCAGTTGTAACCTAGAAAGGAAATTCCTGGTACGCCTGGACTCCGTGTCATCTATGGCTTACTGATTATTATTAATACCTCGCACTTCCAAAAAACCTACTACTCGTAAACATTTTAGTTTTAGCTTTGATCTCCACATGCAACAACACTTTTTGTGGTCTAGAAATTATTGTTCTGAGTCTGGGTGTTCTTTGTGTCCATTTGAATGATTGTAAAGTCGTCCGCGACATGTTCCTAGTGCGGGAGTTGTCATTTTAAAAGAAATAGTTCCAACGTTTTTACCTCAAAAACAATAACACCAATTAAGATCCCAGTGACGGCTCCTCCGTACGTGGTGAACCAAGATGCCACAAGGTCTGAACAACCACCAAAAGCATCCTCTGCTTGACATTGGTTTTGGTCGGTGCTTGGGCAGCAGCTGGGTGGTAGCGGATTAGGGCCATACGAGCCAGAACCAGTTGTTCCACAGCAACTGAACTGAAAAACAAAGTTTATTAAATGTAATTTTTATTCCATTCCAACGTCTTCTACACTACAGCTCGAGCTATTGATTCATTCTACAATCCACCCCTTCTATTGCGTTCACTTTTAATCCCCAAAGTGTTTGGTGGAAGCCAATAGGTTGGCCCTCTATTACATAATTGGGTCCAATTTCATCATCACCACGTTCCTGCTCTCTTTCTAGTTTTGTTAGAAATCGGCGAATTGCAAAGGGTTTTGGTTGAATTCATTTGTGGGCGGTTACCGGCCTAGATTTTCCTTGGGAATGTAAATATTATCAGTAGGACAAAGGTAAGCTTGGGGAACAAGAGCGAGTGAGTATGGTCAAGATGATCCGACGACTTAGTGAAGGTTGCGGGAAGTTGTTGGATGCGGGCAGCACAGGACCGGTTGTTTTGGCGAACTTTGGGGGAGGCCTATGTCCAGCACTGGACGTCTTTACGCTGATATAATGATGATGAAATGTATGTACTAATGTATGAATGTACATGTTACTGGTATTCTAGTTTTCCATAGGAGTACAACTCTGTAGTGTCGGGTGGGACATGAATCTTCAGGATAGAGGAAGCATATAAGATTGACAGAACTGTATCTCATACAAAGCCATCTGATTACAACCTAGGCAAAATCTGTGTTTATTTCTGAATAGATACAGTCACGTATTTTATCCCCGAAGGGGTAAACGTCCGTATTATACCGATTGTAATAAAATTTTAAATAAATAACGATATTATAAATAAATTACACTGAGACACGAATGGCCATACTCATCACATAATTATTTGTCCTGGATGGGAATCGAATCAAAGACCTTTGGTTCAGTAGTGACATTCAGTAATCTCTGGACCAACAAGCAAGTCATTCATGAATGATAAAGCAGGGAGATGGTGAAATTATTTAATACTAATATGTAAACATTACTTACCAAAGTTTGCATACCGAGGAATGCCGGACTAGGATTTTCACTATTGAATCCGTTGCTAATCCATCCGGTAACTGTTGCTTGAGCGTCACTTAAAAAGTTGAACATTACCACGGCTAGATATATCTTGACACCAGCCATGATTAACATACAGATGGAATACTGAAAAAATTTAGTACATTTTATTCTCTGTAGTTTTGCTGTTTAGTCGATATTTAGTCCATAGACGCTGAATGAGTAAAACTAAAGATGATATTGTTTTTGTCCATGCATTATTAAATTTTAAAAAAATAGAAAGACTTAGACAAAAAATATGTAGGTATATTAATTTTGCACTCAGAGGGAAATAATTTGAAAGAGAATTGCATTCATCTCAATTTAATATTTACAGTTTCATAACCCAGTAGGCAAAAAGCAAGTGTAGGGGCTGATATTGGGGGCGACAGTCACCCTAGATTGTTCGTAAGTTATTCTAACTAAACCATGAATTCAGATTTAAGAGATAAAACTCTCAACGGTTTGGAACCTTATACATAACTGTTGTCTTGACTCTGCTCTCAGTGGACACTGGGTGTTCCTAAGACGGTCTGTACTGATGATCTTTGTTTTACATTCTTTCTTCTCAAAGTTGAATAAAGGAAACGTGCCAAAATGTAAACCACATCAAACAACTCACAAAATCATTCATTAATTTATTTATTCGTTCATTCAATGACGAACCACCTGCATGACTTCAAACCTCCTTGGGCATGTAATCATCTTCAAATCTGAAGAAAGGTAGAAAGAAAAAAAACTGAGGAAGAAGTTGTTTTAAGGAAAATTGCGCTGGAGTCAGGGCTCACACATGCACATGACTCCTGTGATAATTCAAGCTAATGGCACGGGAAAATCTTCTGATGTAGCGTTAAGGGCAATATTCAAAGAATAATAAGATACTTACAGTTATCAACATCCACACAGACTTTAAGATCGCTCCGCAGCATGCTAGGAAAGCAATGATGAATACGAATGAACCTAAAACTATGATTCCTATTGATATAATACTTAGATTAATGGGAATAAGATCTGTGATTTCTTGGAGCTGAACGTGAGCCGCTATACCCAGGCCTAGGATGACCAGGCCCACGATCTGAAAATAAAAAAAGAGTTGGTTAAAGTTTTTGATGATGTTAGTTGTTTTTTTAAGGAAGATAGTTAGTAAATCCGTCTTGAGTTAATTTTAGAGGCAAGAGACCAAATCGAAGAGTAGAAGATTATGCGTTATAGATTTGGATCTTCACGTCCACTATAAGGGTTCGTAGTCTAGAGAAATAGAAACGCTCGAGAAGTTTCCTTTTTGGAATATTCTCATTTTTATTTAGGAGAGTGGGACCAAAATGGAAGTATCCATTTTGGTCCCACTTGAGTTTGAAGAAAAAACACCACCTTTTGAAACATATACTTTAGAGAGTATAGTAAGATATAAGAATATTATAATAGTTTATTTAATTTAATGTTAAATTCATCATGATTTAGGCACATTGAAGCCGTGATAATTTTTTAAAAGGTATTTATCGATCGAGGGGCTCGTGGCTAAGTGGTAGCCGAGTAGGTTAACACATTGCAAAGTTAAGCAATCCTAGCCAAGTCAGACTATGGATGGGTGACCGTTCTTAATACGTTGAGAGCCTTCCGTCCCTCGGAGAGCACCTTAAGCCGTAACATCAATAGTCAATCAACAACAATAGTCTTTTTACAGAACTTCGATGTCGCTTAGAAGTCGAGTTGTGGAGGTCTGATAACAGTCGCTCCGCTTAAAAAATCGAAGTTCAGCCATATCGTAGTAGACGTAAAGCCGACCCCAACCCAGTTTGGAAAAAAGGCTCTGAGGAAGATAGGCGCATGGAAACCGGTAATACTTTTTTAAAAGGTATTTATCAAATGGAAAATATATCGGCGAGCCCGGGTAGCCAGCCGGGCCTGAGTCACATGTCTGCAACTCGAGCTGACAACGTCGAAATTTATTTGTTTGCCGTGTATATTATTTAATACAACAGGAAAATGTTTTCCTATTTTTTATCTATATTAGTACACCTATACATTTATTAGTTATCTTGATTTATCTTATCGTTTATATCGGTTCTATTGTATTGTGTTAAATACCTCATTATCAAGGTAGGAGCGGTCGCATTTAAAATATTTTGGAAGGAAACTCATTGCTGTTTTTGCCGGACACAAAATATCTGGGCATTTTTTAAGCTGGAAATATCCACCGAAAGCTTTCTCGAGATAGCCTTCGTTTCGTATTTGGGACTCACATCGACCCGAACAACCAGGGGTGATCCGGAATGTAGTACGGCTCCACCACAGAAGCGCACCGACCTTTCCGCTAGCGTCTGCAGAATCAGAAGTTGCGCTACGCGACAGTTTTTTAAATTACCGTGCAAAACTTTATTTCAGGCCTTCAGTTGCTTCTCTTTCAGATGCGTATGGCAGATGTGATGTATGTGGCTGTGACGGTCTCTGACTGGCTCTAGTCCTCGCCAAGACTAAGGCCGGAGTGGTCTTCTGCATTTCATACATCTTTATCTGACTAATAGATAGACTGATTCACCTGGAAGATTCACATTACATTTCCCGATGAAACGTGACGACCTCGTGATCAACCGTAGTACTCGTACATGCCAGAAGGACCCCTACCCTTCCACTCTGCTTTTCACGTACTAATTTATATTATTTTTGGACATCCCGGTATATGTGTGTCAGTGTTGCCACCTGTGAGTTTAACAGCTGCGCGCCATACTTGAACATAACTAAAAAAGGCGCGAGATTTCCCTAGAGTATATTGCCTACGTGGCCAAAACCTACGCCTTCTCTCCGTCTCTGTGACGTCTCTCTCAAGCCTAGTATTTTGGTACGTTCAGTAAATGAACTATTCCAATATAATATACTAGCTATTTCTAACTTTGGACCCTTAGGGGTGAAATTCCCAAAAATGCTTTCTTAGTAGGTGCTTACAATATAAAAAGCATTAGCTGCAAAAATTTCAAGTTTTTAGACCCAGCGTTTAGGGTCTGCAGTGATGAATCAGTCAGTCGGAGCAAGTTATTTTATATGTATATTGTGTGTCTTATCTCCTAAGATAGGTGTACAGTATTATCAAGATTTAGGCACTTCAAAGTTGTTTACCTTTTAAGTACATTCATGACTAATGTCTTATACCTGGGTAGAGCCAAGATGTTAAAACTAGGTATTGGTACAATTTTTTTTTTAATAAGACAACTCCTGCGCTATGAATATATTCTGTGTCGCGGGGACTTCACAAACATACATGACACGGACAAGACCACCCAGACTTAGAACAAAAATCTGTGGATCACACAAAGTGTGCGTCCCAAGTGGAGATCGGACCCACAACACTCAGCGTAGTAGTAAACAGCGTGGCGACCGCTTAAACCACTACGCCATCCGTGCAGTCAAATTGGGCACTAAATATGTAGTTATAAAGATAATTAAAACATTGCACTGCGGTATTTTGGGTTTTAGCTATGACAAAAATAATATAACAAAAATAAAACGAATGGCCTTCCTAACCCTATAATAACTTTCACATACAAAAATTTTAGTCGAGAATAACACTGTGTTATCATTTAATAAGTAGGTACTATGAAAACATACTGACAAATTGAGAACCTCCGTATATGTGTTTTTGAAGTCGGTTAAAAAGCGCCTGATGGACGAATCGATCATAATTCATTAAGTTATAACCGTTTAGTTTAAATCACCAGTAAAACTAGAACTTTTGTTTTATATACTTTACCTATTATGACAGGTCAACATGTGTACTGGACACCTGTACCTGAAACTCTTGTAGTCGTTTTCGCAAAACTTATAAACTTCAAAGTTCGCTTTCATATAGACATTTTAAGTGCTTTAAACTTAACATTTCTAAGACTATTTCTAAGAGTACGTTATTTACTTAAAATGTATACTTACAAATAATTTTTTCACGTTTTAATACATACATAGATATTAAAAATAATAGTGTTAGTAATCTATACATATAAAATTCCTTGCCCTGACTGATTGATTCATCAATGCTGGCCTAAACCGCTGGGCCTACAAACTTATAATTATAGGAGCTGGTGCTTTTTATGTTGTAAGCACACATTAAGATAGGCTTTTTGAAAATTTCACTCCTAAGGAGACAAAATAAGGTATAAACGGTCGTATGTTGATCGTCATTTTAAAAGTTAGAAATACAAAAAAAGAAATGAATCACGCGAGTTGTGCCGGGGGCGATAGCTCGTTCCTTAATAATTTGACACATGAAGAAGCTCTTCAATATACCCATAAATTGCAATGTCCTGTAATAAACTATTTCAAGAATTTTCCATTGTTAATTTTAAAAGATAAGTTTTAGAAAAGTATAGACTCCTACATCATGATAAGTTATAACGAATAGTATTCTTCATTCCTAAATTTTTCACCCTTAGTCATGGTATGTTTTTTTCAAATTGAATTACGATAAATCGGGGAATATAACCTCCCTAATACAAAAACAACTTATCAAATCGGTTTATAAATAACGGAATTATGGGGTAACAAACCTAAAAAAATAAACAACCTAATTAAAAACCATTTAAAAAAAGAAATAAACTTACAGAAAATATTAAATTGCCTAAAAGAAGCACATATTTGATGATACATTCTCCTACGCAACACATTTTGTTTTTTTATATTATTTTTTATTTCCAATTTGTTTACGAGTGACTTTAGTTTCACGAACGCGACGTATACTAAACAAAATATCGACTATTTTCTACTCGGATGATAGCAGAGGAGATAAGATTATAATTTAACGTCAGACTGATAAGTGGATTCAGTCGGTCATATAACAAAATTGTATTCAATTTTGGGAAGACTGATTTGTGTATCTTTATCTGTTTCCTCAACGCTATTGGTCTGATAAATTGTGAAGGTATTTTTCCGCGTGTCTTTAAGTCAGACAGACATAATAATTACTTTTTGAACAAGCTAATTACTGAAAAAATAACAAAAAAGCAGACTGGGTGAAAATGTATACTTATAAACCGGCGATATTAATTTTTATAAAATACCCAGTTCACAATTAAGACGAATCTAACGACACGTCAACGTCAAAAATCCATTAGGTCGTTTAAGATACAGAGCGTGTCAAAGTAATATTTGTACATACGTACATACACTCGAAAAACATCTGGCGCATGCGGGTAAAAAGCTGTGGCTACTTCCATATACAATGAAAACCAAGAAACATACTACAGCACCATCTAACGGAGACACACCTAACTACGAAGTAACTGCTAATCCCGTATCGCAATGTGAATAATTCTCTCGCCGATTAGCATATAATATACAAGTTCCCAACATCAACCGTTGGGCCGCGGTTTGCCAGTCCTCCCTTTGTGGGACATGACACCCGTTCTTCCACAAAGCATCACAGACTTCAATTATCTTATGATCTTATGTAATAAATTGAATCCTTATTCACAAATCACATTTTAATGGAACCAAATTTCCCATTTGGTACACCTGACCTGTGACACTGTCCTGCTATTACTTTTATTATAGTACCTCTAAAGTACCTGGTTGATGACAAAAAGCTTAGGAGTCATTTTATAGTGGTGGACTGGCAAAATGTGAGCGTTTTGATATGCTTCTGTCTATTCCTTCAGCAATATAGGCGTGAGTAACTCTCTCTCTCTCAATTTAAAGGCGAAGCCCTTCCCGGTAGAGCAATAACGCCACGGCTCTCTATTTTTTGCGATCTGTTTGACCTCTTTATAGACCACGATTGCCACTTTTACCTTTACTTGCTGTTTGTACGGACATTGATCTAGGTCTTCCTCGTTTTCTTTTGCCTTCTATTATTCCTTCCAGTATTATTTTAAAGAAGGTGTCATGTCTTGTCTAGTGGCCAACCATTTTAACTCTTCTGTACTGTCAGTAACTTATCTGCTCTAAAAAAGTTTGACTTGTAAAAGTGTTCTTAAACCGATTTACGAGTTATTTATTTATTAACAATAAACTATTTATGTATTTATGCGGAAGTATTCTTACATCTGCCATTTTTTACATTCATGCAGTTTCGCATAATGATGTTGTACATTTTGTATTTTTATTTCAGTAGAAAAGGAATTTTCCGCGATGACGCGGGTAAAGCTTAGTTTTTAATGTAAGTGTACTCGCACTTAATTGTCATTTGTAATAAAACAATATATTTCGTAGATATCGTATAATTTTATTAGGAAGTGATAAGATTAGTCACATTTGAACTAAATTACTTAAATCATTATCCTGTAGATCTATAAAGCTTTTATTTATAAAATGTAATAGTACATAATAAGATAAGACACAGTTAGGTTTAACAATGGCTGTAAAAATAAGGAAAAAATGTTGGTGATTCATTCTACATGACCAAAATATTATAAAATGTTGTGAATTATGAAAAGTTCTACACCGATTGAGCTCAAATTTTGACACGAAATACGAATTGCTTCAGAGATTGTTTTTATATATTTATTTTCGTGTCAGTTTTGTTCCTCATTTCCAATCAATGCAACCACATTGTACTACAGCGAAGCGGGGCAGGGTACAGCTAGTAAATTATGGATGCAGAGATATGAGCAGAGGCAAATTTGGATACAGAAAAAAAAACCACGAATACTTAAGAGAAACCCAACATAAACTCGGGAACAGGCACAAAGAACAGAACATGATACATCCGACAGTGAAGGCTAGTTCAATAACGCAGCAAGTGCCAATAACTTCAACATCCTTGAAACTAACTTTTCCAAGTTAATCAATCAATCAATAAACCCATTGCAGTCCACTGCTGGACTTAGAACGTTGCCTATGTGCACCAAAGTACACCGTCTTCTGTATTCAGACCATCTGAATGGGGACGTCTTATTCCAGTCTATCCTAGGCGTTTTACACTTTTAGCCATTGGTCCATTAGAAGACGTCACCAACCCATTGCACTTTTAGAGCTATTTCTGTAACTTTACTTCCTCAGATGACCGCATTAACAATATTATCGTTTTGTTTTGTACTTTTAGTGTGTTGACTAGTCCTACCTTTAGCGTCGTCATTCCAGACCTCTAGGTCACAACAGGTTCAAAGCACTGATCTCACACATCTCGCAAGTTTTTATAAATAATCGTATTTGTATTTTGTTTCGGTCTTGAATTATACGCGTTTAAGTGTTTTTTTTACTGTTCCCTTCTTTTATATTATTACATACTGTGGAAGAAATTTTATTTTACGCCACTAAACTGATCGTACACAGCAAGTTAGATACATATACTATAATATTCGTGGCAGAGCCATGCTTCGGCAGAAATGGGTCAGCTCGGCAGGGGTCACAGAACTCAGAACCACGGATACCAAGGCCTCACAGAACTCACACCGAGTGAGTAAGTTTTCCTTTATCCCAAATCCCCTCATCATAATTCTGGAGGAGAGGGGGTAATTATTTGTCCTGGTTAGGAATTGAACTCACTTCTGATTTAGCAGTCGGACTCGGAGTACCCACTAAACTAACAGGGCATTCAGATGGCTGTACAGTTATATTCATATAATTTGATTGTTGTAGAATAAAAGCTGAGGCTACCGGCGATGATACAGCACCATCGAAGAAATGCAACAACACCTGGCTGGTTCCTATCAATGAAACAACCACTACACTGTCCAGTTGCTGTATAGATGTAGAAATTAAGGTGGAGCCTGAAGAATATGTACGTAAGACACGTGAAATTAATATACATCAGGGGGCCTAGTGTGCGCTTTTTTCACATCGACTCGATCGATTTGTTTAGAGTTTAGTTCGGGCCAATCACAACGCGGTACGCGGTCACCGTGACGATCGAGTCACACTAGGCCCTCAGTCCAAACTAGCTTAAAATTAAGAACCAAGAAATTTAAAATTTGTAGAAAATGTTGGAAATAAAAAAAAACCCTTCTCCTTATTTGCTTCTCAGGATATACTCTTATGTAGTTTACAATTAGGTTGTTAATTTATGTAACTAAGGCCTATTAGTTTAGCTTGACTACCTCTATAGATTCTATCGAAGTTTTTAGTCTTATGATCTGGGCATATCGAGGAAATATGCGAATGATTTGAATTGCTGGAGCAGGCTTGCTGTTGTACAGAAAAAAAACACTTAAATATTGTTTGACATAGCGGTGCATCTATTATAAAAGTATAATATTAAGATGAATACCGTGATAATTGGTTAGGCTTAAGTAAGGTTAATGACAAACGCTTGTCAAGTCACAGTCAAAATATAACTTCTTATTTAATTTCAGTTCGACACATATGACGAGAATGGTCTGTTGACGGCTCTTCCAACTACGTCTCATGAACTTAAGGGTAAGTATTTAAAGTAAAGTCAAGTCCAAAATCGATCTAAGTGGAGATGCCTATGTCCAGCAGTGGACTGTGATAGGCTGATGATGATGATGATGATGATGATGATTTAAAGTGAAAATAGAATGAAATGAATAAATGTTTTCACTTATTAGGAAGAATTTTCACTTATACGACAATGTTTTTTTTACGTAGAATGGTTAGAATGTCTCGGACGATAGTTGGTTTTTTATCTTGATCAAAGAAATATTTATCCGTTCCTAAGATTATTATTTAAAAATGTTTTCTTAATTCAGGATCTCACAATACACGAGAAACAGGCTTTTCCTGCCGCATCTGTCTGAAAAACTTCGCAAACCCGGGCAACGTCCAACGTCATATGTTACTCCACACGGAAAGGAAACACCATTGCACAGAATGTCCGAAACAATTTCAATCAAAAGAGCAGTTAGACAAACATATGCTCAGGCACACATACGTACCGCCCGAAAGGCCTTTTGTGTGCGAGCACTGTAACAAACAATTTAAAACGTCATCAAATTTAATGCAGCATAAACGAATTCATATGGAGGTCAAACCTTACTTCTGCTCACAATGCCACAGATCTTTCGCGTTTAAAGCCAATCTAACCAAACATCAAGGCAAGAGTAGATGTAAAAGGCCAATAGATGAACCGATCCAATGTCACGTCTGCAACAAAGTCTTTGAAAAAGAGTTTCTGCTAAAAAGTCATCTACGTAGACATGACACGGACCGCCCATTTTCCTGCGATCAGTGCACTATGAAGTTTAAATATAAGAGCACATTGATTCGTCATATACAGCTACACGATGGTATAAGGCCGTACGCTTGCCCTGTTTGTGATAAAACCTTCACACACTCTGGTTTACTGAAACCGCATATGAGAGTCCACACTGGTGAGAAACCTTATCAATGTCCGATTTGCACAAAGTCTTTTGCACATAAACATAATATGCAAAGGCATGCTATTAGACATAATAAAATTAAGCATTTAGTATGCGATATATGCCACAAAAAGTTTCCAAAAGAAAGTAGATTAAAGTATCACATGAAAACTCACGTGAATGAAAAACATTTTTCGTGTCATATTTGTCCGAAGAAGTTTTCGCATAAGCAGAATGTCCTAAGGCATTACACGAGAAAGCATCCGAACGCGAAGTATGAATGTAAAGAAACCGATGCTTCAGTCGCTTTGAAGGTTTGGGATACTATTAAAAGTAAATATAGTGATGAGCCAGGAGAAATTTTGGGCTGAAATCAAACGGACATTTTCTACTCACATTGAATGTGCTATAATCGTTTGTACTTCAGAACTTGCTGGCATTAGCCTCCTGTTGTTTTGCGATATTTATTAGACGTAGATAGCGAGATTTCAGTGCTCTGTTTTCGTATTTCGAATGTTGTTTTTGTCTCTCTTATAGTATTTGGATGACGTCATACCATCCACAAAAAAAAATAAGGCGGCGTGGATTGTGAATATTCCTGATAAAAATAAGGATGAATATTATTCCACATTCTAATCTGTCCTTCTATGTCTGTCGTACGCCAATAAGATAACACCATATTTCTAATAAGAGTAGTATTAGAGATCGAAAATTAATTTTAAATAAATTATCGTCAGAAGATAAAATCAAATATTTAATACAGTGCTAATTCAATTCAAATAAATGTTTAGGTATTGATAGAAATATGATAAGGAATAAAAGTATCGCTAATGAGACCGGATATATAGATTCTTAGGTATTCATAAAAAAAAGTAAGTATGTTCTTAATATTTTTTGTGCTAACTTCTTAATGTTCTTTTTAAACTAAAAATATTTCACTTTGTCACTTGTGACGATAAAAATCTGATAATGGCAAACAACAAACAAACACTCAGAATCTACTTAATTGTGAGTCGTCGTCAAATCTTGTGCTTACATTGGCACTGACGTAAATTATAGGAATGGATTCACTTATTCGGCCAATATCAAATGTCTTTGAATTTGTGCAATTCCTTCTACTTCATTTATTACTTTCCTTCTCTCTCTTTCTCTAATAGAGGATTCCATTTTTAAGATTTACTAACTGGCTGATTTCGTTCGTGCAAAATATACTTTAGAGCCCATGGATGTAGCTATACAATTGAGCAATTGTATGCAATTGAGCTATACTTTACTAGACCTGTTTGCTTTTAAAGATCTAAGCGTTACGTATACCCATATCTAAACATGAGGAAAAATAGTTGGGTGAGCGTAAGAATTACTTATAGAAGATAATCATTTTTCTCGCGTTTTCATTTCGATGATGTAGTTTTAGACCCCAGGGATCTTATATACATAAGTACCAGGGATTTCCTTTATAGGGTACACCTGGTTCCCCGGTTACTTCCCCGAGACGGCGTGCGGTTTTTGTTCGGTTTCAGTCCGACCGTTGGGTGGGGAGATTTTCGCACAGAAAAAAGGGGTCCTATATAAATATTTATGAGAAATTTAGATGTCGCGGCCTCTCCTTGGTATAGTAGGATTCACAAGTTCCTTTCTAATTTTATAAAATAAGCTTAATTTATTCATATTTTATATTATTAATGATGAATAAATTATAGATGCAACAATTTGAATGTTTAAATTTAATTATTACTTCAAACTACCCACGAATCATGATTTTAAGTGTTGGGATAGTCTAGGATGGATCGGTTATTGTAACATTACTAACTATATATACTTTTAGTTTTTTTACGTTTATATGCAATATGTTTATGGTGTAATAATAATAATAAAAACTAAACAAATTCTGGGTCCAGCCATGTTTCGGCCACCTAGACCGCAGTGATAGTGGTTTAACAGAACACCGGTCATCAACAAGTCTGGGAGTGAGCTTAACCCCAAAGAAGGAGGCGGGTCGCCTGATGTTAAGTGACAACCCCGTTCATGAACACCTTGCATTTCAAGAGGTACAAGTGCTTTTCGTCACCCTTTAGAAGAATTAGGAATTAGAGGTGGGGTGTAAAAAGCAACGAAATAATTACTTATTTTTATATCAATTGAGTCTTATGGATAATTTTGCAAGTTACGGCTTTATAAGCGATTGAGTAACTTACGCTGTTATCTATTTAAGATATACTCACACAATGTCAGTTTTAATTCAAGGGTGTAGCGCTATTGGTTACCTATCTCCTTTCAGACTGGTTGGATCGTGTGATCTTTCTTCGTGAAATAAAAAAGTTGAAATGGCAAAAAAAGTTGCTTACGCACCGTTAGAACTTTACTAACCTAATATATTATGAAAGTACAATGTAAATGAAAAATTGTATTATATAGATGCAGCGTTTAATACATTATTTAAGAATATGTGAAATGTATAGAATATCTACCCTCTATTTGGTAGCTTTTAGTAGAATTAATTTCGGATCTCAAAAAAGTCTATTTAGCAAAATAATTGTAAATAAACAGCAATATTAATAAAAAAAATATGTTTTATTGTTTGATTTAAGTTGATACTGTAGTGTATGAGATGTTATTGGAATAAACACGATGTATAATAAACAATGGTTCTTTTGTGGTCCGCGGGCACAGAGTTAAGACAACCCCTTTTTTTCATGAGACGATCCCCATCCGTCGGATAGCCTCCCCCCCCCCCCCTGGCCGGTGCTGTGATTATGTAGGACTAGGTTGTCGTAAGAAGTAGGTCGGTCATCGTCATCAACAGCCTTTAATAGTCCACTGCTGGACATATGCTTCTTCGTAGAAAGAACGTTTTGGTACTTCCACTCTGACCAGACGAGTTGTTATAGGGTCTGTTTCAAGTTTTCCTTCTTTTTGCAGTACTGTTGTCTAGCGTAGTTTGCTCTTACGGCACGGGGTGAATAGGGGTGGTGACCTGTCCTTAGATAAATATAGCACAAATAAAAAGTATAAGAAATTTTAATTTACTTTTATTGCGTTTATTTATTTTCAATTTTATATTTCAATACTGACAAAGACTACTATGCTTTATGATGAAAAACAATATCTCAATTGACATATAGTCAAACAATACATATAGAAAAAAAACGGGCCAGAGACAAACTTATTGATACATATGTTCACACCCATATCTTAATATATATAAATCTCCTGTCACGATGTTTGTCCGCGATGGACTCCTAAACTACTTAACCGATTTTAAATTAAATTGACACACCGTAAGCAGTCTGGTCCAACTTAAGAGATAGGATAGCTTAGATCTTTAATTATAGTCGCAATTTTATTTTATTGCAAATTATTGGTCTATAATTAATTGACAGTCACAATTATCTGTTAACTCCAAAAGATTCTAACAGATGTCGATACTTTTCGACTGGATTGAGTAAGTAATCAATAGATGGCACTGCTATGGTAAACCGACATAATGTATATGGCAAAACAACGTTTGCGGGGTCAGCTAGTTTATATATAAGTAGTATTTATCGAGATATAACGAGATTCCTATATAATACTATTCTTATATATGTAAGTTTTTAAAACATTATTTTACTTAAATTTTAACTTGGTCTACACTAAATATGGTTTTACAAAATAAGGAATCATAATGTTACTTCTCGTATACCATAAACGAAAGATTTATTTAACCGACTTCAAAAACAGAGGTTCAATTCGGTCATTTTTTTTATATTTATTAACTCAGTACTGGTCTCCGTACGAATTTATTTGATTTTTTATTTGGTTGGGTATACTTTCCGTTTGGTCCCATTAAATTTTAATACCCTAAGAGTGGAAAATTAAGGAATAACGTATACATTTGTGATGTTTTTTTTTAAAGAAAATATTTAAATTGTATACTATCAATCAGAAAAGCATTATTTCCATATTGGCATTAAAATGAATGAATCTAATCTATTTTAATCTTATTTTGGTCCCATTTTAATATAACGTCAAACATCAGTGTTGCTAGTGTTTTAAACTCAAAAGTTGGCAACATTGATCAACTGTCAGGGTTATGATATACGAAAAATAATGTTACATACAAGACTTATACAATAAAACATCCCTTATATTAAGAGAATAATGTGAGCAGTTTATAGTTCTTTGTAAAAATATGTTATCAAATAAGTAGGGTAAGCGGTTACCGGTACCCATTAATACTTTTAATACTAATATAATTTTCCCCCCTTCCAGTGATCTCTAACCTACAGTAGCAACGTAACAATATATAGTATAGATTAAAATTAAAAAAAAACGCTTTAAAAGGAAAAAAACTAAATAAGAAAATAATCTTTGATTGTAAAAAGCCTAAGGTGCATATTAAGCTGAAACCTACCAGTATGAACTGAACTGTCACAATATAGATTTTACCTACCATAACAGGTCAATTTATATTGGTTTCATAATTTTTTAAAAATATTACTTTTCTGCACTTCTAATATTTGATAAATATTTGTGAAAGTGTGACAAACAAACTCTCTTTTACATTTTAAATATTAGTATGGATATTAATCAGCAGTCTGGTCATCATTGTATAGGCTCTGCCAGGTTTGGGATCAGACAGCCGTGTGTGTGATGTGTAAGTTTATAAAAAAAACATTAAAACAACACCCGACGATAAATTAGTATAAAAATACATTGCTCACTACTTATAGTAAGGTATAGAGTATATATATGATGGGTGCGACCCAAGCGCTGTGTGTCATGGAGAGGCCAGTGAGGGAAGCGAACAGGAACCACAGCAGCCACAGGATCAGCAGCTGCCAGATCACGTGGAACGCCAGGAGCCTGGAGACAGAGATACATCCGTCACTAAATATTCACTATTATTATACTTCTGTGTGGTGACGGATTAAGAATATGGAGTATCAGCACCCCTAATCATCCCGTGGGTGTCGTAAGAGCCGACTAAGGGAGCAAACTACGCAGGACAACAGCACTGCAGAGAGAAGGAAAACTTGAAACAAACCCTATACCCACCCGTCTGGTCAGCGTGGTATAGTAGACCAAAACCTCTTCTCTAAAGAGAGGCCTATGTCCAGCAGTGGACTATTAAAGGCTGTTGATGTTATCCTTCGATGGTAGTTATTTTTTTGTTGACAACACTAAAGTTAATGAAGGCCCTAAATAAAAAAAAAATTGGACATAGTTCTTTTCAGAAGTTTCGTCGTATAAGGTCAAAATCTATACAAATAAATAAAATTGGAGTGTCTGTTTGTAATATTAAAATAACCGCTTTTTACTAAATGCATATACATATGTCAAAATAATTTTTTTACACGGTACATATGTCAAAATAATTTTTTTTACGGGTAACACCGCGGGTCTCAGCTAGTAACAAATAAATAGCAAATTGTCAAAAGAGCAGAATGCCAGAACCGGACTGTCTTTATTGAAAATTATGGTAAATATTTTGCGCTTTTGAGGTTATGTGCTTCTGACATTCTGATCTTTTAACAATTTGTCATTTTGCTTTTTTGACCTGATATCCTCCGAAACGCTTTTCAGATACTTAAGTCCAATTTGTTTAGGGTGGTCTTAAATTGTGTTTTCTTTCTTAGGCAAGTGCTATTCTAAGAATAAGTAAGTGCGAACTAATATCAATTCGGTCCGACCTCGCAACTGTCATAAAAGGTATTTTCGTAGTAAAATAGTAAAGTATTATAAAGACTAGCAGATTACCGATTCAATTCGGTTAGAATCCGATATAATCACATTACACTCAACGTCGAATGTTTAATACTTTCCTACAAAAATATCTTTTATGTCAGTTGTGAGATCGAAAGGTGATCGGAACTGAATAGAGACCGAACTTTTATTACGAGAGTTGACCCTCTGTTTATACTCACAACATATCCTTCTGTCTGGCAGCAGGTAGAGTAGATTCCTTCTCCCTGTTCAGGTACCTTCTGACTCCGAGGTGCAGCGTTGTGAAGTACTGCAGCCACTGGAACAAGCCAAACACACGATCATATAGGGGAATCCTAGTGGAGACAAGTGAACTACATAGGAGCCAACTCTTATAGTGATGATGATCTGATCTGATAATGAGGCATAATCAATTCATTTATGTGTTGAGTTTTACTGAAGGATAAATTAGTTTTTAATAGTTAGTTAATCTAAAATATAATACAAGGTGTAAGGGACATCGTACCGAATACTGAAATAGTCTATTCAGACCATGATTCTGAGTTAAAAATTCATTTTTTTTCCCATTTTTCTGGTTAAAGATGATGAAAAATGACATCACAATGAGTAGACAGAACATTTACTGAAAACAATTTAATAAATACCAAAAAACTACAATGTAATTAATCAAACAGCCGAAGTGCGTGGGGCCTCCCTTCCGGCCGCCATTTTGTGTTAGTGTGCGTAGACTGTTTGTACGGAATACACATGTAGTTTTTACGTTTGTGCGATACCTACGGGGAATTACCTAAACCTTTGACAGCTGATTGCATAAAAAAAAAATCCGGCAGAGAATTCCAATGATTTTCGACTTAGAATTATGGTCACACACACAATACACTATTTCAGTATTCGTTACGACGTCCCTTACACCCTGTATAATAATATTTGGGATATCTGACACACAACGCCATCGAGTTTCAAACTAAGCATAGCTTGTTCTATGAAAGCTAGATTGACTGATAATTCTATATTTTTTTTGTAAAAACGTACCTATTATAAATAGTAAACACCCAAACTCCGCAACAAATATTTGCAGATCACACAAACATTTGGTCCGACCCGGGAATCAAACCCGAGACCTCAGCACAGCAGTCGCATACGCTACCACTGTACCGAGGCAGTCTAAGTCAATCAGGCCGTCTAATTAATAAGGATTTTGCAACATTCCTTTTGATTCGATTCTCGATAAATGGGCTATCAAACCCTAAAATATTTTTTCCATTCGAACCAGTAGTTCTTGAGATTAGCGCATTCAATCAAATAAACAAACCCCTCAGCTTTATAACACCCCATCAGTATAGACACCAATTTCAAAAATTATAATTTTGACATTAATTAAAAATCAAATAATCTGTCAGTCAATTTTTGTATAACTTTTTCTTTTTAAGATAACTCCCGCACTAGGAATATATCCTGTGTCGCGGGGGAATTTACAAACATACATGAAACGGACACAGAATACCTAGACTCAGAACAACAATTTGTGGATCACACAAAGTGTCGTCCCATGTGGGGATCGGACCCACAACATTCAGCGTAGTAGTGAGCGGCGTGGCGACCGCTTAAACCACTGCGCCATCCGTGCAGTCGTACCAGTCCACACTTACTTGTAAAGAACTGATATCAATAAAGAACAATTCCTTGTCAGTTTTGTTCAGTTTCTTCTCAAGTTCTATTGTGTTGGGGTTGTAGAATTTCCACTCGCTGAAGATAAACCGCTCCAGACGGTTTAGGGAAGACCACACGTTCTTATGGAGACGGATCAGGCTGGAATATGAAATACAGGATCATCAATCTCTGTATATTATAATAGCTTCACATATCCCACACATGGCAGTCTGATACCGAACTAGGCAGAGCCTGTACCATGGTAAGTGGACCGCTGATAAATATACTTCTGTATTTCTAAATACATACATATTATAGATAAATCATCTCGTTCATTGAATTTTCTTGGGTGGGAATCGAACCCACGACCAACCTAGCCACTAGGCACACAGATCCGTCTCGTTTGTGTACGCTTAACTTGACAACAGATGGGCTGATTTGGTTCTTTTTTCTTAAAGATGTCAGTAATACTCTTAAGACGCTTTTTAGTCAATTCTAGAAAATCCGAAAGTGTCATTTTTCATAACAATTAAAAGTCAACATGAGATGGCTTTAGTTGGTACTGGTAAATTAAAGAAGTCTTCTCTGTAAGGGAAGGCTTCCTATAGCATAACTAGTTATCGCGCGCGGTTTCGCTCGGGTGATTATTTCATATTTCTAACTATTAAAAAGAACAAACTTCCATACAACCGTTTATGCCCCTGTTTTATCCCCTTAGGGGTGAAATTTCCAAAAAATCTTTTCTTAGTGAGTGCTTTCAACATAAAAAGCACCCGCTCCAAAAATTTCAAGTTTATAGGTCAAGCGGTTTAGACTTTGCGTTGATGAATCATTCAAGGCAAAAAAAAAAACTATGTACAGATTACATGTTTAAGTATTTATGTTCTAGGACCCGTAGTAGAAGCTATGTTCAGCTAGTCCCAGGGTATGATGATGCTGAATACGTACATGGGCCTCCCGCCCGTGATCCGCAGCACCATGTCGAGGAGTACGGCGGGGAAGAAGTGCACCAGGATAGCTGACAAGCGGAACATCAACAGGGTCGGCACGAACTTCAAGTGAGGGTACCTGGAGATGGACATTACTACTTTAAGCTCTATATATTCATTGTTATGGAATATGGGGGGCAAACGAGCAGACGGGTCACCTCAGTCTAAATTCTGATATTTTAATATTTTTTAAAAAGACAACTTCCTCATTAGGAATATATCCTGTGTCGCGGGGGACTTTACAAACATACATGAAACGGACACAAAGAACACCCAGACTCAGAACAACAGTTTGTAGATCACACAAAGTGTCGTCCCATCATCATCATCAACAGCCTTTAACAGTCCACTGCTGGACATAGGCCTCTCCTTAGAAAGGAGGTTGTGGCTTACTATATACTATACCACGCTGGCCAGACGGGTTGGTATAGGGTTTGTGTCAAGTTTTCCTTCTCTTTACAGTGCTGTTGTCCTGTGTAGTTTGTTCCCTTAGTCGGCTCTTACGACACCCACGGGATGAATTGGGGTAGTGACATTCCGTATTCTTAATCCGTCGCTACACGGATCCCCGTCGTCGTCCCATGTGGGGTTTGAACCCACAACACCCGGCGCAGTAGTGCAACCACTACGCCATCCGTGCAGTCAAATATTGTATAACTAGCTGACCCGCGCTACTTCGTCTGCGTCTCTCAATAGTAATAAATTTTCTCCGTTTTTTTAATATTCTTCATTGGTGCGCCGCTCGTATTGGTCTTAGCGTGATGATATATAGCCTATAGCCTTCCTCGATAAATGGGCTATCTAACACTGAAAGAATTTTTCAAATCGGACCAGTAGTTCCTGAGATTAGCGCGTTCAAACAAACAAACTCTTCAGCTGTATAATATTAGTATAGATTGCACTTGTCATATTCTACTAACTATGCCATTGATACAAATGTCGTCGATGTCTTTGTGATAGTTTGGTACATTTTAAATTTGTAAGTTGGATTGTGTCAAATACCGGCGCCAGAGGAACTCGTTGGTGTGGAAATATAATCTTAATGTGTAAGATGTAAGACTATTTATTAGTAATCTATGTCACCCTATTTTAAGTGCGGCGTTTGACCTAACATAACATAGTTGGTGTGTTAGAGGAAGCCACGATGGGGCTTACATAATATCCATAGAAATAAATAAAATTGAAATGTCTGTTTGTAAAAATAATAGGGGTTCTTCATGCTTACACGATTATTTGCACGATACCTATGCCTAAAAGCCAGTTTAAATAGTTTTTGTCTGTCTGTTTGTTCCCGGAACAGCGCGAACGATTTTAATATTTTACTACCAGGTAGATGTCTATATAACGAGTAATTTAGGTTTTTTATTTCCTCTCAGAAAAACCCTATGAAAATTTTGACCGTTCCGGGAATCTAACCCGAAGCCTCATGGACTGCAGTAGCGTACTGTACACCACTAAGGCAGCGCTTTTCAAATTCAACGCGAACGAAGTCGCCGGTACCAGCTAGTTTAGTAATAAAAGCCTCTAAATAAATAAAGATGAAAAAATACAATTGTAAGGAAATATATATATATTTCATTTTTCAGTTATGGCAATGTTGTTGATATCACTGTGGCGACTCCCACATAAAAAAAACAGGAACATACTACAGCGCCATCTAATGAAGACACACCGAACTAAGGAGTAACTACTAAAATAAGAATTGCTAATCCTGTATCGCGATATAAAGAATTCTCTCGCCGATTAGCATATATACAACTTCCCAACATCAACCGTTGGGCCGCGGCCCGCCAAGCATGATCACCTCGCCTGGTCGGAGGATCCTCCCTTTGTGTTGGAGGGACATGACACCCGTTCCTCCACATCACCATAGATGTGTCATTGTCACTACATCGACAGTCTATTGACACTGTTAATTTATATTAGTAGAATACCGATATTTTGACCGATGTTACGTTAACATAAAATAGCAGACTTGAGGCCCTGGTGGTGAGTGACAAGCGACCTACAGCTCGAGTCATAAGTGTCAAGGACCAGGTTGAGGCTCTGGTAAACTCTCTCACCCAGTGAAAAGCACTGAAACAATTGCTTAACACTTGGTCTCTGCGAGGCCTTGGCCTATCACACGCGTCAAGCCCGGTCCAAAGAGTTGATCTCCCAGAGTTAATTTTGTTACGTGAAATACAACATTTGACTGTATAAAGTACTAAAGACCTGCTAGCTCCCACATTTCTGTACCAACCTGTATATAACCACAACTTTTTGTAACATGCTGTATTTAACCATATTTTTATATAAAACTAGTATATAACTACCCTTTTCTGCAACACCATTATATGACCACACATCCGTAACAACCTGTATATGACCATAATTTTTTGTAACCTGCTGTATATACTAACCAAACGGCGCTCTTGAGCGGATATGTATGCAGGAGGGCGTTGACTTCATTCTCAATCATGAACCACCTGAACGGGTTGCAGGTTGATGAAGAGCAGTGGTACACAGACAACCCCGACCTGGAATTAACACATCAGTTCAAATATAATATTTTAAAGGCGAAAGTTGGTAAGTCTGTGTATTCATCAACAAAAGAGGTTTTGGTCTACTAGACCACGCTGGCCAGACGGGTTGGTATACTAAACTGTTTAAACAAACCCTTTTTTTACCCCCTCGGGCTGTCACCCCACCGGTGTTTACAGTGGGGTGATATGACGGAATCGGACCGATTGAAACCACATGGTGTGCCACACTACGCTTGTGGAAGGACAGTGGAAGGATCTGGAAACTGCTGCTGACATCCAGACCTATGGTTTAACAAGTCCTATACCAGCCCGTCTGGCAAGCGTGGTATAGTAGGCCAAAACCTCCTAAAGAGAGGCCTATGTCCAGCGGTGGACTGTTAAAGGCTGTTGATGATGATGAAGACACAATAAAGTTCACCTTCAGGTAGACTTTATAGTGTTTTAGAATACTTACTTATTCTTGGCCGCCTCCCACCCAGCGATGAGCAGTTCATTGATCACAACATCCACAGGTATGTAGTCAGCTACGTTCTGTTTGGCCAGCGGCAAACGACGGACTACACCTGGAAGAATATATCCTCATCATAAATCTGCTATTCATCCAAGTTGCAATGTGAAACATTTTCTAGGATTTTGACTGGTTCGATTCCCACCCAGGACAAATATTGTAGTTAGTTTTATACATTGTGCTCATCACCTTCCTGGGAGAGCCATGCTTCGGCACGACCGGAGTGATACCACGGCCTCACAGAAAACCGGTGTTAAGCAATTCTTTTGTTGCCTTTCACTGAGTGAGTGAGGTTACCGGAGCCCAAATCCCCCCTCCCGCTGACTCGAGCGGGAGGGACTCCAAGGGCGGCAACGCACTTGTGACTTTCGAGTTGCAGGTGTCCATGTGCGGCGGTAGTTGCTTACCATCAGGTGACCCGTCTGCTCGTTTAACCCCCTATACCATAAAAAAAGAAAGAAAAAATAATAATATATATTTACCAGCAGTCTGGTCACCATAGTTTGGGATCAAATAGCCATGTGTGGGATGTGTAAAGTTATTATTATAAAAAAACATCTCCACTCGGCATATTTTATTCCGACAGCAAACATTCATTATTTTTGATCCAATTTTCATAAAACATTATACACTTAAATCTTCCACAATCCCACTCTATCTATTGGTGGGAATCGGTTTGGTATTTTTGGAGTTTACCACATTCAGATAGATAGACATATGCTTTGAGAGTTCTAGTAGTGATTGAAGAAAATCTGTTTTTTCAATGACAAACAGCATTTGTTTTCAAGTGGTATGGTTGGTAGTCAGTTTGAGTTCGACAGACATCACACCGGTCGTCCGGAGGGGGATATTCGAGGGAATTGAACGAAAGAAAATGGTTCATTAGCTGATGGGAAAATTTTAAATTCTTATTACCTTTTGCAGCTCCCATTAGGAATCCTTGTGGTCCTACTTTGGAACACGTCCAGCCTGGGAGAGGTTCTTTCCATGCAGCAACAACTAAGACAATTAATTTATATTATTACTAGCTATTGCCTGCGGCTCCGCCTGCGTGTATGTAATCGAGAATCAAATTTCATTTGAATCGGTTTAGCGATTATTGATTCCCCATATAGACTTCCACCCCCCTTTTAAAATTCAAGGATGATTTCTGGGATAAAAACTATCCTATGTCCTTTCCCGGGACTCAAGCTATCTCTACACTAAATTTCATCTAAATCGGTTCAGCCGTTTAAGCGTGAAGAGATAACAGACAGACACAATTTCTGTAATGTAGTATTTAAAAATCTAAGTATCTATCTTTTTTTATTCTTAAATTTATTTGCTCTGACAACTCAATTTCCATGTCAGAAAAGAGACAAAATTAAATGTAAACTCTATGCCTCCCACCATAAATTTTTGTTTAGTCTTTTAAAGGTCATCTAATTCATCTCATGAGGGGCATAGCACACGGTGTACTAATAAATACATTATATTTTAGTGACCTGTGTGGAGGTTTACGGGATGCCATAAAAAAAATATAAATGCTTACTCATAGTGGGCCTTACTATGGTGCAAGGGAAGAGGTCGGCACACTTCACCACCTCGTGTTCGGCCAAGTGTTTCGTAAAAGTATAGGTGTTGGGGTGGTCTTTCAACAGTCTGCAATATAACATTAGAATTATTTTATGCGAATTTATCACCAATATAACAAGTGTGATGACGGATTAAGAATACGGAGTGTCACCACCTCTATACATCCCGCGAGTGTCGCAAGAGACGACTGATGGAGCAAACTACGCAGGACAACAGCACTACAAAGAGAAGGAAAACTTGACACAAATATTTTACCAACCCATCTGGCCAGCGTGGTAAAGTAGGCCAAAACCTCCTTTCTAAGGAGAGGCCTATGTCCAGCAGTGGACTAAAAGTAGATATTAAATAAAACTTTAAGTAACTCATTGTATGCATAGAAAAAAATATTACCTGAGCAGTCAACCGTGTAAGTATTTTTTTGACATTTTGCGCCAAATGCACTTTTGAAAATGTGCGCTTTTGACATTATGCTTTTTTGACAATTTGAATTAGTTAGTCATTTTGCGCTTTTGACCTTATGGTCCGGAACGAACTTAACTTAAGGTTTTGGCTGCCCACCGTCCTCAGAATTAAGGAGGGTATTAACATGGGACATTCACTAATTTCTTTCGCTTGTGAAATACAACGAAAGGGGATGCAAACAAAAAACATTTAGCCGGCCCATTTATGGCCCAACAAACTACTTAGCACAGGTTACAAACTCACTTTGGTTCTATCTCATCTAGTTCCTGATCATTGAGGGTGTTGATCAAGGATATCACCTTATCAGGGTCCTCTGGAGCTTCGTATACCTTCTCATGAGCTTCTGTTAGGAAGGAGTTCACATATGCAGATGACACATGCACCATTACCTGACCATGAAAAAAAAAGCATTATTAAGAGTGTGGTGTCTTCCACATACATAAGCATCATGATTGGCGTGTTGGTCAAGTGGTTAGTGCTAAGCCATATAATTGCGTGACGTTCTGTGTGTGGCTGAACGAAGTGACTAATGACTCCCAGTCAGGGTTGTTCATGGTTGGTTAGGCCATTGATATTCAGTGTGGGAACGCAGCAAGCTTTATGGGCACCTATGTGCCAGGAGCAACCCAAGGATGGGTTATTTGAAATATAATTTTTAAGAAGTGTCAAAAAAATGTTGATGGATAAAAAGAGTTAAAATGAATGTAGTGATTACGAGTAAATTATGTGTTTAACGACATTTTATAAAAATAAGAGTAGGTTACTAACTCAAATGACATATTTTTGCTTTGTTTAAAAGATTTAAATTCAGTCATAGTCTTAAAATACAAATAGCTTCATATGCTGAAAAAAAAGAAATCTGTCTATCTATCACATGGAACAACAATTTGTGTCATCCACAAATTGTTGTTCTGAGTATGGGTGTTCTTTGCGCCTGTCGATGGATAAATAGATTACCTTCAAATTCTTCGCATCTTTACACAACTCCATAACACGCCTAGTCCCTAACAAGTTAATCTTGATAGTTGGTCTCAGGTTCTCTTGAAAGTCCAGGGTCGCGGCTGAATGTATCACCACATTGACATTGTCCACCAGCATTTGACGGTCCTGTGGGCTCAAACCCAGGTTTTCCTCACCCACATCCCCCGATATGGGTGTCAGTTTCTTAAACACGTCTGTGCTATTACTTTGAAGGAGTTTTTCAAAGACCTGTAATAAATTTTACCTGCATTATTGACAAGTTATCTGCGTCACTTTTTTTCTGGCTGCAGATTTTTTTAAAATAAATTGTAAGTTATTAATTTTTGGTATGTCTTAAAATACCACATTATTATGTTAAAATATATGACATAAAAACATTTAAATATCCATAACATTATTAACTTTTATTTAAAAAATAAGTTTTTTCATTAATGCATGATTATTTCTTATTTCGTGTTTCTAGTTTTAAAAATGACGAGCTTCCATGCAACCGTTTGTCCCTTATTTTGCCTCCTTAGAGATGAAATTTTACTTACAGCATAAAGGTATCAGCTGTTAAAATTTCAAGTTTGTAACCCAAACGGTTCAGGCTCTGCGTTGATGAATCAGTCAGTCAGTCAGAGCAAGTCATTTTATGTATAGATTGAGTATTACCTGTGTTATACAACGGAAGGAACGACTTGGTCAACCGAGCGCCGGGCATGCCATTATCGCGACAGTAAGAACCATTATGGAGGATTGGCTCGAGAGGCATCACGGAACCCTCTCATACCGGCTGACGCAGGTGATCACCGGTAAGGAATGCTTGGGGATCACCTGTGTCTGATCTGCAAGGAGCTAACGCCTGAATGCCACCACTGCGATGGCCGGACCGCGGATACGGCGCTCCACACGCTGGCAGATGCCCAGCGAGGGTGGAGCAGAGGCGTATACTCGTGGCGGTCATCAGGGTGAGGGTTCTCTCGCTCGGTAGCATGATTACGGCCATGGTGCGGAGCAAGAGTGCGTGGGAACTCCGCCGTCTCTTTCTGCGAGCAAGTTATGCTTGCGAAGGAGATGGCGGAGCGGGACCGGGAGAGGTTTAGAACTCTCCCGGCCCGCCAGGCTCGGGAACGAGTCAGGTACCGCTAACGACTCAGGCGGTGGCGGTTGGAGAACGATCTACGTCCTCTATAAGCGCAGGCCTGGGAGTGACAAGTGAGGCCATCTGTCACCCTAGCAGGCAGCCGAGGTGGCGGCGAGACGCGCTGACGCGCACGCCCTCTCGGACCACAAAGGGAAGATGGGGGTTCCCACACAGGAGGGGGTCATCTACCCGCCGTAGATGGCCCGAGCTCCGGCAGGCAGGGTACCAGGGATTTCCTTCCTACGGTGCGTAATCAGGTGTACTGATTCCCTGGTCCCTAGTTACGGTATGCGGTTTTTGGTCGGTTCGAGTCCGACATGACCACCGGCAGGTGGTATGCAAGAGGATTGTTTTTTTCTACTTTTTAAATCAAATGCAATTTCAATGTGCCACAGCAAAACATGGCAGGGAACAGTTAGTTTCTAATATTTTTCCTATTTTGTCAACAGTGACATTGACATTAATATTAACAATAATATAAAAATAATTGAGTATCTATTCTACTGTAATTAATGAATAATTTTATGTCCATAAAAACTATTGTTAACCCAATTAAGATTATGGAATGTAACTACCCCAATTCATCTTGTGGGTGTCGTAAGAGCAGACTAAGGGCGCAAAACAACGCAGGACACCAGCACTGCAAAAAGAAGAAAAATCTATCTAGCCAGCGTGGTATAGTAGGCCAAAACCTCCTTTCTAAGGAGAGGCCTTTGTACAGAGTTATTAAAGGCTGTTGATGATGATGAACCCAAACATGTCGGGTAAACCTACTTTTTTACTGATATTTTGTCATACAATTCGTTATTCTTATTCTAAGTAACATTAATTTAATTATTTATTTAACTCTAAGCATACTTTTGCTCAAGGCATTTTTTTGGAAGTCAACCTTTGGGTGGTGTAGAAATCCTACAAAGTGGGAGTAAAGAGGTTACATATATCATCAATTAAAATATAGGTTTTTCAATCAATAAGTTGGTGAATATTCATTCTTTATAACTCTTTATTTTTCTATGTTATTTTCCTCCTGCAGAAATATTATTCACCATTGGTAAATGTACTTACTACAATACTAAATTGTTTAAATCAAGCACATGACATAATTCCAAGAATTTAAATACATTCAGTTCATTTTCAAAGATTATTTTATATTTTTAAAGATGTTACGGACAATTATGCAGAAGTAAGCATTACTCAAAAACTCAGAATTCACTACATACACAAAGTTATATATATATCCACACACACTGGTTTTCTCTGAGGCTGTGGCAAAAATGTAAGACTGGATATGTATTGTTTCTATTTATTTCGTTGAATTAAACATTAAAAAGAAAAAAATTAAATATGTGTGTAACTGATTAAACCCAGCCGTGTTCTAAATTCAAAACCTTTCTAACACTTCTTTATTTTTTTAAAGTCTACTATTAATATACCTACCTATAATTATGTTTATAAAAAATAAATTAAATTATATTAAACTTGATTTTTTGAATAAAATAAATTACTTACGGGGTTTTTAGGAAACTCTTCAAGTCTTTCATTTATCTCCTTTCCTTTCTTTGGTCTCATTAGAAGGTATATCTTCCCCGCATCAGGAATACATCGTAAAATCTTTTCAATTAGGCATAGCCCAACAAATCCTGTGCCGCCGGTTATGAAAAAGTTTTTACCGGTATAAAACGTCTTCACTTGTGATTCTTCCGACATGTTTAATTATTTCCCACAATTATATTCGATATCTGTAATGAAATATATTAAGTTAGAAAGTAAGTAGGTAAATTGGAAATCGTTAGCCGGAAAAGTTTTCGAGTTTCTAACTTTCCAAAGACTTGACAGATTTTGATTTGACAATGACTTTCTTAGTAAGGAAAATGGTGTTGCTACAACTACTACACAAATACCCTACGGAGTAACATTCTCAAAATTCAATTAATTATCATGTCATGACTCTGATACTTTTACAAGAATGTTGACGTTAAAAACATATTAAAATATTATTATTCAATAAGTAAAATTTCCATCATAGGAATGATGACACGAATAAAATAAAACATCTATAATATCTACTAAAATATATTATACTAGCGTGTTGGTTTTTGCGGTAAAAAGTAGCTTAAACTATTTATATAGTTACTAGAAAAAAGATACTAATGATGCCAATCTCATAATGAAATGAAAACATTCAAAAGATGGAAATATTAAATTTTCTTGCTTCAGTTATTGTTCAGTATTCAGTTTTTTTTTCGTCTTCGTCTTCGAAAGGTGTATCCACAGAAGACGCTGTTTCTGCTTTCCTTAATTGTATTACAGATAAAATTGACAAACATTTCAAGTGTCTGGGTATCTTTCTAGACATTTCTAGGGCTTTTAACAGCTTAACTTAACTTTAACTTTTTTTGTCACTGTGCCTATTCTTCTAAATAAACTAAATACAGTACAGAGTACGTGTTAAAACTTATTCTTTTTTAAAATCTTTCTTTCTGAAAGAACGTAATGTGTTAAGGTTGGAAAATACATTAGCACCGATGTACAAATGGAATACGGAGTGCCGCAGGGTAGTTTACTCAGTCCTCTTCTCTTTTCCGTCTAAGTCAATGATCTCCTTAACCTCAACTTATCCTCTACCCACATAATCTCGTATGCCGGTGACACAGCAATGGTAACATATGGACGTGATTTGCATATTACAAAGAATGTCGCAGAATCTGCACTGAATCAGGTGGGAACCTGGTTGGCCAGAAATAGCCTGACGCTAAATGTTGAGAAAACTAAATTCATCACTTTCGGATCGTGTCTTTCTACTTTACCCACTGAGACTTCTTTTACCATTAAATTCCATAAATGTGATATCCTAAGTCACAGTTGGCATGTCCTACTGTGGCCAGAGTAGTAAAGTATCTCGGACTGCTACTGGACTCCTGCCTGTCCTGGAAATTCCACATACAGTCATTGTCGTCACGCATTAGGAATCTTATAGTCATCTTCAAGAAGTTTAGAACATCAGCTAACGTTAAGATAATGAACATGGTCTATAGTGCCCTGTGTGCATCAATTATAAGCTACTGTATAACTTCATGGCAAGGAGCAGCAAAAACCGTCCTCATTGAGGCTGAAAGAGCTCAACGAGCAGTAATAAAAGTACTCCTTAATTAGCCATTTCGTTACTCTACCCAGTAGCTGTGTAGGGACTATGGAGTTCTCATGGTCAGACATCTTTTTATTCATCTAACTACCCTGCATAAGCACGTAACCCTCCCCCTAAATACTAATAGCCCCAATAAAAGAAGGAGGCCAAAGCCGGCGTTTCCCAAATTTCACACCACACACACCACTGCAAAAACCGAACGAAACAGTACCTCCTAACCCTAAATTATGATGAAACAGTAGATCTGATTTAATTACCATTTGATTTTTAAGCCTAAGTCCCAATCACCAACCCGCAAGAAAATCTACACATATTTTAATCAATATTTACCCACAGTTAAATACAATGCAAGGTATAATTTATTCTCTAACGTTATTATAGGTTTATAATATTACACATATCCTTACACACTTGCATTACCTACCAAACATAAAACCTCACTAACTTACCCACCCTAAAACACACATTACTATATGTTTATTTATTTTACATCTTCAAACACTTATGTACATCGACGGACTTAATATGTGTGTATCACAGAAATCGTAATAATAAGACACAATAAATGTATCAGCGCTCGATTACTTCCAAAACCGATGTCGCCACATCTTAACACATACACAAAATACAAACAAATAGGTATAAGACTCGCTAACACTTGCTAAACAACGGTGAAATGTATGGGGCACAAACTATTTTGAACCTTAATCTCGAGGAATTTCATTGCATTTTACTCCAATGTATTATGTAGCTCCACTACAATCATCTTCGATGTATGAGAATCCCTGTAAACAATGCCAGGGTTTGTCAAAATTTTTCGAAAGTGTCGATATTTTTTTTATATACATTAAAATAAAATGGATTACAAGATTAAATGATACTTATAAATGAATATTACCTATTATAATAATAATATTTGTTGCGGAGTTTGTATTTACAAAAAAGCATGTAAGTATTATATCAGGCAATTTAGTTTTCATAGTTCAAGCTCTGCTTAGTTTGAAACTAGAAGGCGTAATGTGGCAGATTTCTCAAATATTAATATTTAAAATCAACAGTTTAAATACTTTATTAATCCAGGTTACAGAGTACGCTTATGAAACAATTGCAAGAACAAGACTACCTTGGAGGCGCAGTTGTAGTTTATGCGACTGCTGCACTGAGGTCTGAGTTTCCATTCCCCGGTCGGACCAAATGTTTGTATGATCTACAAATATCTGTTTCGTAGTTTGAGTGTTCTCTATGTATAATATGTATGTATTTACAAAAAAATATACGAGTATATATACAAGTATTCTATCTATCAATCTAGCTTTCATAGTACAAGCTCTGCTTATTTAAAAATACTTTTATAAACAATAAAAAAAACACTATAGTACAAAAATTGAAATTAAAAGCTATTACTGAACAAATAGTTCCTTGACGTAACAATTAGATTTATATTAATGTAGAAATAAGTTGTTAAGAAGTCAGTAATAAACAGAGCAGTTTCCTTTTTTTACACGCTTTATATTAGCTTCACTTGTATGTTTGTAACCGACTCCTTTGTGCGTGATTTTGACTGACTTTAAACGGTCAGAATTCGTTCAAACTTTGTAGATATATCGAGGACCGATGACAATACACTAATTTTTAAAAAAATATTATAGTTTTAAAAAACTAAAACACGCGCTTTCTATAGGAAACCAAACTAAAAAATAGAAAATAAATTTGAAAAAAAGCGTTGGGTGCCTGTTGTCAATAGTAAAAAGCACCCCACGCTTTTTTTCAATTTTTTTTTTATATTTACATATTCGTCAACTGTGTAATACCCTGTTTCCTGACACTGTTTAAAAATGTAGTTTACTATATAAGTAAGTAAGTAGGTATCTCTAGTGGTTGATGTTGTCAGCAACTGTACAAAATGAGTTTATTGACCCGTAAAATGAAGTAATTTATTTAAAATGTTTTCTTTAACATAACAATAACGAAGGCACTGCGCAATAAATAGTTTTATCGTCAGTTTGTCGTTTAGCTAACATAAAACTTTACCAAGATATTTATCTAGACATTTAAGGTTTTTGTTTTACGTAACTCATTATCTAAAAATTTACCTGCGTTATTATTAATAGGATTGCTTTTCATGCAGCATATTCACGGTTTTTGCCACTATTGCAAGGTTTTCGTTATAAGAAAATTATCTACCAATTTAAAAACGATCTAGTCTAGACAATCCCAGATACTGATCTTGGATTGTCTAGACTAGATTAAATTACTCGTTATTAAATCAACCAATTAACCCGTCTGGCCAGCATGGTATAGTAGTACCAAAACCTCCTTTCTAAGGAGAGGCCTATGTCCAGCAGTGGACTATTAAAGGCTGTTGATGTGATGTGATGATGATGTTTGAGAAAAAGGGAATGACATTTGCACTGACAGATCTTTGATATTAAATCAAAGATCTGTCAGCTGGAAAATCCAGAATTGATTCAGTTTACACAAAAATAAATGCAGGCAAGATGAACAAGACCTATTTTTAGTTTTCCACTAACTAAAAAGATAAACAGAAATAATGAGAAAGTAAAAAAATAATTACAAATTACTTAGCATTCTTTATCTACAAAGTTGACAGTATAATTATTGTCGCGTTTTAATTATAGGTTGTTTTATGCCTATAGACCGTTTATAGAACGGGTAGGTACATGGTAATAATGGTATTGCTAGAATAGAAGTAGGTTTTAGGAGACATTTTCTAAAATTTAATTAACATTTTTTTCAAAATGATCGAAGCTGGATTCTCTTTATGTGCAAAATAACCTCCACCAAGGAGAATCACATACCGTTGCTTTTTGTTGAGTTTTTTGTTTTAAATTACTCTTATGTTTTATATTAACTTTTCTTATGTTAATATCTATAGGTACATAAGACATCAATAAATAACATCTTTCATCGTAATATCTGTGATCGTGTAATCTCTTTCTTCCTTCTTTTGATTAGACATGGGCATAAACACAGTGAACTGTGTGTGTGTGTGTGTATTATCATTCGATTTTTGAGTACGTAGGTTAGGGTTGCTAGATAGGTAGGTTAGACGCCATTTAACAGTAAATATGGTATTTTTTTACCTATTATGTAGGGAATAGTAGCTGTATATAATAAAATAATTACTAGATTTACTGTTCAATAGGCGAAATAGGGTTTTTATGCATCGTCGTGAGTAAGTAGTAGTAACCCAAGTATAAGAAATGAAATGATAAATCCCCGGTATTTCACAGTTGCCTGTGATTTGTCCCATGCCTACTTTTAATTGTTAAACTAATTTAAAAATGATATTAGGTCTTGTTTTCCTTTTAACTTTTAAATACATATTTAAATAACTAGCTGACCCCATCAACTTTGTCTGCGTCTTTCAAAACGAATAAGTTTTCCCTGATTTTGCAACAATTCATTGATGCTCAGCTCCAATTGGTAGTAGCGTACCGTATAGCCTTTACCATAGTCTTCCTCGATAAATGGGCTAATCAACCCTAAAAGATTTTTCAGTTTAAAACATTGGTTCCTGAGATTAGCGCGTTGAACCAAA